TATATTTTTTAATAACTTTGTTTTGTTATTTTAAATTTATTAATTATAATAATCAATAGAATAAAATAGAACTATTTTCATTAACAAGGAGGTGAAATACGGAGCTCGCCATTTTCTCTCTAACAGTGTGGCGGCGGCTACAGTAATCGTCTCCGGAGTTTTGCGTTTTTGGGTCCGATGTGCGGCGGCTCTCTTAGCGTCGGCATCTGGATCTCGGGTTTGTCTAGATCTCTGCTCTTTTTTCGGGTTTTTAAGCTTTTGTTGGCAATCGAAGCCATCTTCATAGTCTGTTTATGGGGTTCAGTCTCGGTGGGTTCGGAGGAGTAGTTCGGTTTGGTCGTGGGTGCTGGTGGTGGCTCGGTCGTGAAGTCTTCGGCTTTGCGGGGTTTGTGCTATCCTCCTTCGCCTTATCTGATTTGGGCTCTTGCTCAATCTTCTGTTCCTGCTTGTTAGTGGCTCGCCTTTGGTCGGGTTCTTTGGCTTGTGGGGCGGTTTGGTCTAGAGACGGTTTGAAGATTGATGGAGGGGTTTGTGATCCGAGGGTTTAGAGGTTGAGATCGGTGTGTCAAGTTTGGGTTGTGGGTTGGGTGTGGTTTGGGTTCGTAGGGGAGGCTCACAGTGAAGGTTGAGGCGTATCTAAAGCGGTGGTGCGCTAGCCTTTGGTCTCGTGAGATATGACTGCGTAACAGATACGCCTCTTTCCAAGCCTTTCTTTTCATCGGCTTTGTTGATCTGTTGGCCTTCGGAAATCTCTCCTCAGTTCGGTTTTCTCGTTATGAAGATGGTGGGTGCTTTGCTGATCCTTGTCGTTCTGCTTCCTTTTGTCTGGTTGTAAGTTTGTCGAGCTTCGGGATGGTGAGGAGGAACCGCTGACTTCGATCGAGGTGTTGGTCGGAGTACAATACCTCATCTCTGATCTGGATCAGGGGTTCTTCCCTTGGTTGTTCTGGGGTTAGGTTCTGATTTGGATCGGTTTGTGGTGTTGGTAAAGGCGGTGTTTTTGTTGGTTTTTATTCTGTAGAGATTGGATCTTTCCGATTAGAGATAGAATTTAGCCTAGTGCTTCTACTCTGGATTTCTTCTCTGGGTTTCGATATAGGTGGTTAGAGTTGTTATAGATTGTTTGTTTGGGTTCGCCATTCGGTTAGAAGTATGTTGTGGAGCATCTACTTGGCTTTCTCGTTGGCCTTTGGGTTTTGGAGCGGTCTTTATGTTAAGCAGTGTGCTTCTTCTTTGGCTCTTTTCTTTGCGTGAAGGTGGCCTTCCTTAGTATGTAGATGGCTAAGGTTGGAACGCGAGGGTCCGTGTTAAGAGTCGTAGTTCCTATTGGCGTTTTCCCTTTCATCGGCCATTGCTTGTTTTGAGCCTATTTTCACTATGGTCATCCGTCTTCGGAGTTTGGTTTGGGTCTGAGTAGCTTCCTTTCAGTCTGGACTTTGTTGTTTTAGCAACGTCTTCCATGCGATATTGTTGCTGGTTGAGCGCGATTCTTCTTCCGTCTACAAGGATTTCAGGATATCTGGTTTCTTTTCGGCTGAGATCTCGTCTTGTCTCATGGTTTTTGGCTCAGTCCTGCATCTACTTGTTTGCTCTTTGGGGGTTTCGTTTGGAACGTCGCGGTTTGACAGACTGGTTTTAGCTGCTAGGTTATCTTTTGTCTCTTTCGGATTCCCTTTCTTTTTTCATTTTTCTCCATACCTTCAACTTTGTTCGGAACTTTATTGAGCTTTTGAGTGAGCTCTGGACCTACCTCGAAGAGGAACGTGATCCACATATCACGCATATAAAACCCCTTCTTCTTTGGCGTCATGCCAAGAACCTTAGTGTGCGCACAATCCAAAAAGGTTTAGAAAAGTTGGTTCCGAAGTTTTGAAAGAGAGAAGGTATCGGAAAAAGAACACAAGGTTAGTAATACAGAGAAGAGATGGGAACAAAAGGAGCGTAAGAGCATTGAAAGAAAGAACAAAACTTTATAGCCATATTTGATATTGTAAACGAGTGCTTGCTTTCCTCAATTGTACATACACGAAGTTCTTGCAAGAAAAAACAGTCTTTTTGTTCAATGCCATTTGTTGTACAAATTTTACACTTGTTAAATACTATAAGATTTATGACAAAGGACTTTTCTGCAGCCTAACTTGTGTTGATCCACGGTTGGTTTCAGTCTTTTGTTTTCTTTTTTCGTAAACTTAAATTGAATGTGGTTTGGTTTGTAAAGGTCAATTCTCTAATTGGCTTTTTTCTAAGGTACATTAATCAATTTTTACATTTACGATTTTTTTTCGTCCAAATAGTCTCTCCTCTCTACCTTCCGTCAAGTGAACTATTGTGGAAATTAGTTAACCTAAATTAGTATTTCTTCTTCGTTCAAAGCTCAAAGGTTTTCATTAATCCTTCTTTAGTGGAAAACAACTCGACTAACAAGCTGTTTCCTAGACTAATTAGGAAACTAAAAACACATAAAAATAAAACAAGAAAAAAACAATATCAAATCCAAACATTAATTAGGAGAAAAAACACTAATCTTCTAATCTTCTTCTAATTTTCTTCTAATTTCTTCCTCATGTTTGAAAACAGCCGCGGCCGACCGTGCTAAGCCGATCTCAAGCAAGGTATTAGCAATCTTCTCATCGTTCGTTCCGATCATTTTCAGATCTTCTGCTCTTTTTTTATATAAAATAAAAATACACTAACATTTCATCAAGTAATAGAAAGTCTAATCCTATAATCTCATTGTTTTTCATAAAAACCACAGAATATAGTCAAGTGGTAAGCAAAGAGATTTTGAAACGCGGCTTGCGCCCCTGCTTCANCTACACCTGCAAAGGGAGAACTCAAGAAGTAANCTGCGATTAACCAGCTCACTTCCTTCGTTCGATAGGGCTAGACGCGCCTTACACAAACGAACCCTCNGGTAACGAAACAGGAAGAGACAGCAAGCCATGACGTTCCTCCTTTTTCCAACTCATGTTTCAAAACAGCCGCGGCCGTCCGTGCTAAGCCGATCTCAAGCAAGGCATTAGCAATCTTCTCATCATTCGTTCCGATCATTTAGATCTTCTGCTCTTTTTTGTCTAAATAAAAATACGCTAACATTTCATCAAGTGATATGTTGCGTTTTTAACGCATTCTAACCCACGTTTCAATGTTTTATCGAGTTTTTTTCTTTGTTTTTGGAGTCTTTGCAAGTTATGATACGTTTGGAATGAGTATAAGGCAAAATGGAGTAAGGAATGGAAGAAAAGAAACAAAGGAGCAGAAAAAGGTCCG